CCTACCTCCACTACTGCTACTAGGAGAGGGCGAACGGCGAGGTCCACTAGAGCGAGCACTACTACGTCGGGGCATTTACTCTTAACAACAAGCACTAGACTGTACGGTATGCGAGGTCCATCGTGAAGGTAATCCTCAGCTAGCCTCGTTGAAGACGCACATGACTTGGGACTACTTGCAAATCTTGAATTTCCCTAACGGGTGTGACGGCTCAGAATCGTCAAATAGCTGCACGCGGTTACGAAATCAACTTCGAAATTGGTTTAGTGAACCTCAGAGTTGGTCTACGTGGATCTGTCTTGTCCGTCGATTTTTCATCCTTTGTTTGATTGGTTAAGGCTGTTGATGGTCAACGTTTCACTTGTGACTCGTATATTCTACCATGACAAACGTGTAAAATTCTGTTTCCACAAAAAAATATCCGATGCTTTTTGAGCTCATTCGGAGTAGTCCTTAGAATCTGTTATGGCTTTCGTTGTAGCCGTGGTTTGCATATGGATCGTCGGCGAGCCGTACGCAAGCGAGTGGACCACCTCTGTAGGGTTATCAAGAGGAGCTCACTGAGAGTGACGACGAGTGATGAGAAGTAACACCCCACATACTACTGTTTTTACACATTTTTTCTGTAGAAATCCTCTGGCAACTCTCGACGTAGAGGCCTTCTTGAACGGTCTTAACGAATTAGACGATTTCTCGGCGACCGAAATGTAGTAGTAGATCATGTGAGCGTGTTGACGACAGTATCGGTTTTAGATATTCGACTGAGGGCGGCGGTGGTGATAGTAGTAAGGTATATGTAGGAGGGTTGGACGATGCGTGTAACTTTGCGGAGTTAAAACGTCGAGATATCGGAACGATTATCAACTGTGCTGGTGCTCAGTGTGAGTTGACGGTTATGTACAGTGTGAATGGAGTCGTCATGGCAATTTGTGATGTAAAAATACAGAGGTTAGTCTCAAACAGAAATGTCACTATTTTCACGCGTACTCGTACTACTGCATTACCTAGTGAATATCCATTCTATGAGCCTCTTCGTATCGGTAGGTGCTTTGGCTCGGCTACAAGCTGATGTTGTGGGCGGCCCTAATCCATACAAAGATGTCCGATTTCAAGAGGAATGTTATAAGGGTAAACTAGGAGATCATATAGAGTAGGAGGATCTCAGTGAAGGGCGAGGTTCATGTAGTGGCTTTAGATATGTTTTTATTGCGGCTGAGGATATGCCCCGGTATCCAATCGAGAAGCATTTTGATGAGGTCAGCAGTGTCCATTAAAAGTTGGTTGAAAATTTTAGTTCAGGTGGCGATGTGTGTAGATCGGGGAATCGCAAATGGGCATTCAGTGTTGATACACTGCATGCAGGGATATAATAGAAGTTGTGCACTGCTGTGTGCGTGGCTATGTGGAGGAATCCGAGGTCCAAGAATGGTAAGATTCATTTTAGGCCCGAAGTGGTACCATGTTATTAGAGTCTGTGTGAAGCAGTGGAGTTGTTGGCGTCGAGGCGACAACACGTCCTCAGCAATCGGGGCTTTTTGAGGAAGTTAGTGGAGGCGTATTGGCCGCCGAGTGAGGAGGAGATTAAATGCAGTGTTGGTAATAATGCTGGCTGTGGGAATCGAACCCGGGTCCTCTGAAGTACGACTTGACAGGCCCCCTGGTTGACCTGTATGGTGAGCAAGTGATGGAGGCTCCGATTGATCTGGTTGGAGAGGTTAAAGAGTGCGCTACCGCGGGGCCGATGGTGGCCGTATCGAGTAATGGGAAACCCCTCTCGAGATTTGCTCAGAGTAGGAGGATGAAAAAGGAGCTCACACAGGATAGCTGATGCTCACGAAGGGGGATGGTGACTGTGATGTGGCGAAGGAATGGTATGGAATCCGGCCGCGCGCTCGCCTTAGTGGAAGGGTTGCTTCGACTTCTGGGAAGATGGTAACGCGAGTCTCTTGACGTAGTCTTGAGAAGATGGTGTTGATATGTGAAATTGGAGGTCCTGGGATTCGAACCTGCGACCTTATTCAGGTGTTATTGCTTTTAAACATGTCAGCTCTGAAGGTTTTTGAGGCAGCTCCCGACGCTACTGG